TGGGAAAGGCTCGGCAGGAGAGCCTGGGTCTCAGGGCTGCAGTAAGTCTCAGGAGGGAACGGGGAGATGGGCCCCGGCCCAGGCAGGGGGGCCAAGGGTGGCCACACACCATGCCCGTGTCTCTTGGGTGGGCAGGCTTTCCCACCCCAATGGACATGAGCCCTCTCCTGAGCCCCCCCAATGGAAGGGAGTCCTCCAATGACGCCCCCGAGTCCCCAGCACCACCCAAGACCAGCTGCACCGTGAGTCCCACCAGCTGAGATGGCCCCATATACTCCTGCTCCCCACTCCACAGAATTTGCTGGCCCCTGAGGGGGAGGGGGACACCTGGGTCATCTTTCAGGGTCTTGCCCGCCAGCAGGCCAGCCAGAACACGGGCTTGGCTAACTGCTGCCTCCAGGCCGGCCCCGGGCACTTACCTACCTCAACTCCTGCAGGACGCCCCTGCCTCTACCCCTGCGGATGGGGCCACCTGGGTGCTCCCATGGACGATTCGCCGCCGATGGCAGCCGCCTCCTCCCCTCCTCTTCCGGGTCCAGTGTCCGGCTGTCCACTCCAGGGGCGGAGCTAGTTGGGGGACGGCCTCGTCTCTGGGGGTGTCGATGTCGTGGGGAGGGGGTGGCCCAGGAGGGAACCTGGGGGCTACAGGGAGGCTGCCGAGACAGCCAGGCCCCAGCAGGATGATCTACTTCTGGCCCCGAGGCCGCCTCTGCGTGGTCTGCAGGCTCGGGGGGCCTGGGCGCCCGGCCCCGGCCCCGCCATCCCCAGCCCCGGCCCCGGGCGGGGCCTTCAGGAGAGGTGCACATTGGTTTGGCTTGGGTGGCCGGCTGGCCAGCCTTCTGTGCTGCCAGGGTCACCCGCTGACCTCCCAGGCCACAGCCAGCCCAGACAGCCCCCAGGCTCTTTGGCACGCCAGGTGACGGCTTAGGCGGGGTGCCCAGTGGGCCCACACTGGAGGATCCCTGAAGACCTGAACCCAAGTGACCTCATCCTTAGGCCCGAAGGCCCTTCTGGGACTGACCACCTGGTCTGGGGCTGCTGAGCAGGAGGAGAGGGCCGCAGGGCAGCAGGGAGACCCAGCCTGGGCCCTGTGGGCTGCAGTTCTTGGGGCAACATAGCTGGGACACCCCTGAGTGCCAGGCCCAAGGCTCCTGCCCAGTGCCCACAGGGTCCGAGTCTGTCCCTCAGCTCAAGGCTGCCATGTGGCTTCTCTGATTCCTCCAGGGCACCCGTGGGTTCCTCTGGCTGGATCTGGGCTGGGGCTGGGGCTGGGGCTGGTGGTGGAGAGGCACTAGAAAGGCCCAGCCCTGGGGAGCCTCTTGGGCCCTTCTCTGTCCCCTGCCCCTGCAGGACCCCGTCCCCCTCTCAGCCTCCATCAGAAATAGCTTTAAAAGTAGAGCACCGCAGGGCTAGGTGGGGAGAAGTTGCTGGAGTGTTCTCATTCTCTTTCCTTGGAAAGTGCTCTGGGGGCCCTGAGAGCTCAAGGCTTTTGAGCTAAGAGAATCTGCTCCCAGCCAGTGCCCAAGGCCCCCCAGGCCCCCAGAGCCCCCAGAGCCCTTCTCTGTCCTGTCCTGAGCAGCCAGGGGCCCTGGGACCTCGCAGCACCCAGGGCAGGAGCTCGCCTGTGGGCACCCAGTGAGCAGGGGCCAAGCTTGGAGGGGCTGGTGTAGAGAACAGGACGGGGGCCCCTGCAAGGGCCCCCACGGCCCAGGCAGTCACCTTGCTGGCCCCCCGGCCGACGCCTCAATCCCCACACCACACAGACGACACTCACAAGGCTCATTCAGGGGGTTTATTGAATAGCTTGGGGTGCAGGGCTCGGAAGGCTCAGGGCCGCTGGCGCGGGGAGGCGCCCTAGTTGCAGTAATTCTCCAGCTGGTAGAGGGAGCAGATGCTGGTGCAGCACTGTTCCACGATGCCCCGCTTCTGCAGGGCCCCCTCCAGCGCCAGGGGCTGCAGGTCGCCCGGTCCAGGTGCCCCGCCCAGCTCCACGGCCCTTGCTGCGGGGAGCAAACAAGGGGGAGTGGGTCGGGGAGGGAACGCGCTCCCCCACCTGCCCACCATCCCATGCTGGCCTCTGCCGGGACAGCAGGGTGCCCGCCGCCTGGCACGGGGCCCGTGCTCCCTGCCATCTGTTCCCAGGACCCGGGGGGGGCCAAGGCTTGAGTCTGCCCATGCGCCCCTGCTGCCCGACACTGACGGGGGAGCTGGTCGCCTGCAGGACGCGACCAAGGGCATGTCATTGTTCTTTTTAACGATCCCGCCTGCCTTCCCCGGTGCCAGGTAGGAAGCCAGGGTGGGGCCGGCGGGGGCTCACCCTGCGGGTCCTCCACCTCGCGGCGGGCCTTGGGCGTGTAGAAGAAGCCGCGCTCCCCGCACACCAGGTAGAGCGCCTCCACCAGGTGGGAGCCACACAGGTGCTGGTTAACGAAGGCTCGGCTCGGGGCCGGCGCCCAGAGGGCCAGCAAAGCCAGCAGGGGCAGGAGGTGCGTCCAGAGGGCCATGGCGGGGGACGGGGACCTGGGGGACAGACGGGGTTGAGGCTGGAAGGGGCATGTGCCCCACCCAGGACCCCACCCTGTGCTCGGCCCCCAAACGCTCTGAGGTAGGAGCTCTTGTCCTCCTGGGGCCCAGACACCCCGGACTCCTCAGCGGGGCAGCCCCAGGCTGACAAGGAGCCCACGGGGACACACCTGCTAGCCGTCCGTGTCCGGGTGCAGCTGGTCCCAGGGGGCTGGGGGCTGCAGGGCCCTCCTGGCTTTATAGCTCCTGATCCCACTGCCCTCCCCATTAGGGCCCCCAGTGGGGGTGGCAGATGGCCGGGGGGCTGAGGCGGCAATTTCTGGATCATTTCCCCAGTGCTGGGTCTGCGGGAACGGCTCCTTGGTCGTCAGCACCTGCAGGCCCACAGGGTCATTAGAGTCTTAACGAGGGGCCTGATGGCCACTCACAGCTGGGGGCAAATGTCTCCATGGGAGCAGAGCCCCCACCCCCCAGGGCCTTGCCTGAGCCACATTTTCCACATTAGTCCAGGGGAGCCGGGGGCCAGAGGAGGGGGCTTCTTCTGCCTGGCCCCTGGACCCCTGTCTGCCCCCGGGGCCCCTTGGATGGTGCAAGGCCATGGGGGTGGTGTGGGGGAGCATCTCGTCCCTGCTCACAGCCCTACCCCACCCCAGCACGGCAACCTTGCTGAGACCCTCAGCACCCAGGGGTGCTGCACTGAGGGCCGAGCTTGGGGACCAGCCGCTCGCTGTGTGGACGCTCGGGCCAGGCCCTGCTTCTCATGTCTGCCGTGGGGGCAACAGACACCCTCTGTGTGGGGGCCCCACCTGTCCTGCCCACGTTCCCCCTCCGTGCCACCCCTGCTTCTGGAGGCCCCGCCAGGCTCCCCCATGCTGACCACTTTCAGACCATCGACTCCCTGGGCTTTCATATATATGGTTGGGGCCCCTGGGGTGCTCCCCAGCCCCCTGGACAGGACCAGGAGAGAGGTCAGAACCCTCTCCCCCTCCCCCTGCCATGTCTAACCGTGACACCACTAGGGTCTGTGACAGGCTGAGCCCTGCCTCCTCCTGTCGCCTCAGACCAAGTGGGCAGGAAGGGTTGGGGGCATCCTGTGCCCTTGCCTCAGCATGGACCCCAGTCTCCAGGCTAGACCCTCTGCCCAGGCAGTCCTGGTCTGTGGCCCTGCACGACCGGGGGACTACAGGGGCCTGGCCCACCTACTCCAAGCTCAGCAACTCCCCCATGCTGCACTCTGCACAGGGTGGACGCCCCTGATCCCGTGGGGCGCCTTCCCCACTGCCGCTTCCGCCTGGGCCGCGCGGCAACCCCCACAGCCAGCATGGAGCCCGTGGCCGTCTGCAGCCGCGGAAGGTCTGGGGGTCTCTTGAGAGGAACATGCAGGACAGGAAGCTGGGTGGAGCAGGACCCCAGTGAGAGGGCGGAGCCCAGGGGCCAGTAGAGCCCGGGGGTTGGGGCCGGCCCTCACCTCTTCCCCAGGGTCTTAGTGGGGCTCACAGCCCTCAGAAATGGCCTCACTGGGGTCTCGTGGGCTGAAGGGATGCAGGTAGGGGAGGCCTGGGATGGGCAAGGTGCTCAGACCACCAGGGAGGGCTGGGGAAGAAGCTTTTGCCCCAGAGGGCCTTGACAGATGAATAGGAGTTTACGGGGACTGACATCCTAAAAGCTTAACGCCGGGGCCCTGGTGATGTGTGGCAGGCACAGTTGCCAGGAGTGAGCAGGGCCTGGGAGACCCGTGGGCATTTCTCACCCCGCGACGAGGGGGGAGCCAGGCACGCCCCGGGAAGCCCCCGGGCTTCTCTCCCCGAGCACCAGGGGCAGGGCGGGAGGAGGAGCCCCTTGGGCTGGGCCAGCCCTGGAGGATGCGGGGGCTCCAGCTGGAGGGCCATGTCAGACCCCTTGAGTGAGCTGAGGGGCAGCTTACAGAGCCTGGAATCCAGCCCGCAGACGCCTTGCTGGGGGACTCAGGCCCAGGGAGGTTATCTGGGAACCAGCTCAGCTGGACTCCCCATCAGCACACATTTTGGGGACAATTTCCAGGCCCTGCTCCGTGCGGGTGGGATGCCTCAGGGCCCCGTTCCTGCACCTGCTACGGGCTGGCCCCTGTACCCCTGTCCTCTAGTGGGGACACCCGGCTTGTGGGGAGGGCCCAGCCTGCAGCCCTGCCTTGGAAGCCACAATGGCCAAACGCAGAGCTGTGAGCCCCAGGTGCGGCTCCCGATGCCCCCACCCCCCGCCCCTACGGGGATGATGCGCTCAGCCAGGACCCCCTCCGCCCCCCGGAGCTGCTGGGGGCTCAGCACAGGCTGGTCCTCCGGGGTGAGCAGGGCATCTCCTATCTGGCCTGGGCTGCCTGGTGAGGTCTCGGAGAAGGCCGGAGGCAGAAGAGAAAGCTTTGAGCAAGGCTAGGAGCAGGGGGTGAGGGGCCCAGCCCTGAGCCCAGCACACACAGGAGGCCAGGGAGGCGCTCAGAGGGATTCTTTCTTTTATTGAGGTTGTGAGCGGGCGGCGCGGGCAGCATGGGCAGGACAAGGACACAGCAGGCAGAGCTGAGCAGCAGTGGGGTGGGGATCCGCGGGGTGCCCTCCAGCAGGGAGGATCTCTGGCGGGCTCTCGGGGTGCCCAGTGACCCAGCCCCTCACGTGGGCAGGGGCCAGGGGGAGGCTGGGGAAGGGAAGGGAGACCTCGGGGCCTCTCCCACTGCTCCTAGCTGATGGCGCTCAGCGCATGGGTGAGGGTGTGCAGCTCATCCTGGACGCCCTCCAGGGAGCGCCGGATCGCGTGGGGACTGTCCAGCACGTCGATGGCCAGGGTATACGGGTCAAACTTCACGGAGAAGGGGCGTTGGATGCGGGAAGCATAGTTCCTAGGGAGGGGAGGGCGTACGGACCCTCGGTCACCTGGTGGGGACTCGGGGGGCACTGGGGAGGTGGGGAGGAGCAGGGGCCGCTTGGGACAGAGTCTGCGGTCCCCAGGAGAGGGGGCGCATCATCAGTGCAGGGCAAGCCCAGGCCCCAAAACTCCTTGCAACCAACCGACTGGACAAGGCGGGGGATCGAGGCCTGCTCCAAGGGTGGGGGGCAGGGGAAGGACAGGCCTTTCCCAAGCGGGCCTCTGCTGGACCCCCATCCCGCCCCACCCCTCCGGGAGGCCTTCCTGGGCTGTGTGCCCCAGAGAGCCTCAGGTCTGTTCCTGTCCCCACACTTGCTTGTGGGATCCGGCCCTCCCGCACCTCCACTCTGCAGACACAGCCCCTGGGCCTCGGTTTCCCTTAGCTGGAAAACAAGACTCTTTCCGAGGATGAGCAGGTGGGATGCGTCAGGCTTTGCCCCCTCTCCCAGACACCACTGGTCACGCACCCTCAGCCCCCGGCCCTGGGGGCTCCTTGCCCCCTCCAGGCCCCCTTGCACCCTCAGCCACCCCTGCCCCTCTGTCCCACCCAATGGCCCCAGCTGTTCAGCAGGCAGGAGGCTGGGAAGGGCCCCACACATCCTTCTTACAAAGGTCAAACTCTGCCTCCTGAAACCTGGCCTTGACCTGGCCACCAGTCGGGCAGCTCTCCCCCCCACCCCCCCGGGACTTTTGGGGGGCCTACGGTGGGAGGGGTGTGCACGCCAGGCCCCGCTTGCAGGTTAGCCCAGTCTGGGGGCGTGGGGGGTGGGTCTCGGCCCTGGGAGCCCTGGCCCACCTGAGCTTGTCCTTGGCATCGCTGAAGCTTTCGGACACAAAGTACACGGACTGGTAGGTCTGGTCCTGGTAGGGCTGCACGGCGGCAGCGTCCGGGTCGAAGGCCCGGATCTCAGGCTCCTCAGACAGGGAGTGCTGCAGGAGGCCAGAGGTCGCAGGACCCCCCACCCTGGGCCCGGAGGGAATAGGAGCGCCGCTCCCTGACTCCACACCCTCCCCGCGGGGGTCCTCTCGAGGCCTGGGCACCCTGCGGCTGGGACAGCGCAGGACGAGCTTTCTCGGTCACCCTGCTCCCCCCTCCCCGCAGCCCCAGTGCGAGCACCCTCCGGGGCCGGGGCCCGGCAGGGGCGGGCCTCACCAGGAGCTCCCCGTAGGAGGACAGCAGCCCCGCGCCGTAGGCCTTCACCTCGCCATTCTGCTTACACAGCCCGAACTCCACCGTGAACCAGTACAGCTGGCGGGGACAGCACTGCGTGGGTGCCCACAGCCGCCACCCCGCCAGCCCCTGCCGCTCGGCCCTGCCGCACCCCCAGCCCCAGCAGGGCCCGGCCGGCCCTGGGGATCACAGCGTAAAAGTGACACTCCCTGGACAGAAGAGGGGACCTCAGCCCAGATGGGGGGCCCCCCAACCTGAACCCAGGTGTCCTGAGCGTGCCCCCCAAGGCCCGGCAGGGGAAGGCACCCACCGTGGACAGCTTCTCGATTTCCTCGTCAGAAGCCCCCAAGGACGCAAGCCCGATGTCCTGTGGAGGCAGGAGACTCAGCAGGGAGAGGCTCGGCCCACCCCTGCGTGGGCGCCTGCATGGGGCGAGGGTGCTCCAGGCGCCCTCTGGGGTTTCGGGGACCCTCCCAGGATGTGGAGAGCCTCCCAGGGTGGGGGATCTTTCCCAGATACAGAGATCCTCCAGGTATGAAGCGTCCCTCCGAAGATGGGGGACCCTCCTGGGATGCAGGGACCCTCCAGGTATGCAGGGGCCCTCCCAGGATGGGGGACCCTCCTGGGATGCAGGGACCCTCCTGGGATACAGGGGCCCTCCAAAGATGGGGGGACCCTTCTGGGATGCAGGGACCCTCCTGGGATGCAGGGACCCTCCAAGTATGCAGGGGCCCTCTGAAGATGGGGGGACCCTCCTGGGATGCAGGGACCCTCCAGGTATGGAAGCCCTCCAAAGATGGGGGACCCTCCTGGGATGCAGGGACCCTCCAGGGATGCAGGGACCCTCCAGGTATGCAAGCCCTCCGAAGATGGGGGACCCTCCTGGGATGCAGGGACTCTCCAGGGATGCAGGGACCCTCCAGGGATGCAGGGGCCCTCTGAAGATGGGGGGACCCTCCTGGGATGCAGGGGCCCTCTGAAGATGGGGGGACCCTCCTGGGATGCAGGGACCCTCCAGGTATGGAAGCCCTCCGAAGATGGGGGACCCTCCTGGGATGCAGGGACCCTCCAGGGATGCAGGGACCCTCCCAGGAGCAATCAAGGGACCAGGACAGCTCTGTGCTGTTCTTCAGGAAGCCAGCAGGTGGCAGCACAGGCCATGGGGCTCTGCCAGCCGCCCCCCCCCCCCCCCCCCCCCCCCCGTGGGCTCTGCGGCAGCCGGACTGACTCCTCATTTTTATAAGGTGGTTTTCCCAGAACGGGTCCAAGCACACCCGCCACGGCCCACCCGCCCCTCTATTCCAGGATGACCCAGTCTCCTTGCAGCCTCCCGGACCCAAGCGGACAACGTCCAGCCGCCGAGGGACTCAGGCATGGTGCCGGGGTGGCCGGCAGGGGCTGCCCCCGCCCCAGGCCTGAGACACACCTGGGAGAACTGAGCAAAGGTCCGGTCGGCCAGCATGGGCACGTGCCCCAGCAGCTCATGGCAACAGTCCCTGTGGGGGCGGGGAGAAGGGGCGGCTGGGGGCGGGGGCGGGGGGCCGCAGCCCGCCCCTGCCCCCTCCCCCACGTTCCGGGGGCTCGCAGGCGGGCACCCCGCGGGTCGCTGCGGAGGCGGGGCAGCAGGCTGGGCGGCAGGGGCGGCCCCGCGGGGAGCAGGTGCACACTCACGGCTCGGGGGAGTGCATGGGCGAGGACGCATGTCGGATGTACTGGGTGCACTGGAACACGCGGAAGGCCAGGCTGGCCAGGAAGTCCCGGGCGGACAGCAGGCCGGCCACGGGCCGCAGCTGGAAGCCCGTGCGCTCTGCAAGGGCCGCGGGGGTCAGGGCGCCAGGCTGGGAGGGGCCTCCCTCCTGCGGGCCCGCCCCTGCGGCCCACGCACCCTTCAGGAAGCGGGACACGTCCTCCAGCTGGGGGATGCTGTCCTCCCGGTAGCCGCTGAAGCGCTCCAGCAGCTGGAAGGCCTCCAGGTGCTCCCGGCAGGCGTGGGTGGCGTAGAGGCCCTTGAGGGTGGTGTAGACCTCCTTCCTGCGGGCAAGGGTCTCAGGCCCTGCGGCGGGGCTCCCGTCCCCACGCGGCCGAGCCTGACGGCCGCCCGACCCCAGCCCCGCCCCACATCCAGCAGCCAGTCCTTGTGGGCGCTCCTCTCTGCCCCCGCCCGGGAGGCTCTGCAGAGGCCCCCACTGCAGGCCTCTCGCTGGACCCTGAAGACCCTGGCCACCGGGGGGCTGCGGGGGACAGAGGGCCACGGGATGACCGGGCCCAGCCGCAGCCTCTCCTCCCAGATGGCCTTGGGAAGTCCCTCCTCTACCTGGCCTCCACACGCGGCCCTTCTCGTCCCCTCCGCCCCAGCAGGGCCACCGGGTCTTACCAGGTGGCAATCTCCTCGGCCGTGTACTCCACACGGGGAATAGGGTCGCCGCTGCGGACGGGGTGCGCAGTCAGCAGGGGCCCCTCGGGGAGGGCGGGCAGGGGGGCGCACAGGAGGGGTTTGGGGCTGAGCGCATGCCGGCCGCATGGTCTCGGCAGCTTCCTGTTTGCTCGGCTGGGACTCGGGGACCCGAGCCAGTGACCACAGTGATGGCACTGGTGACAGAGACGCCCCCCCCACCAGTGTGAGGCTCCACTGGCTCCCCGAGGCCGAGGCTGCCAGGGTCCTTACTGCTTGTACTGGAATGCGATCTCCGCGATCAGCTTCCGGCGCTGGCGGTAAGCCTGGTCCGAGAAGCCCTGGGGGCAGTACCACACGCGCTCAGGAGCCTGCCCGCCCGACTCCTCCCTGCCCTGCCCGCCACCCCTTCCTTCCCTGCTCAATGCCCCTTCCCTGCCTGCCACCCCTTCCCTGCCGGACGCCCCTTCCCTGCCCACACCCCCCTCCCTGCCCACCTGATGCCCCTTCCCTTCCTTGCCCACCACCCCTTCCCTGACCGATGCCCCTTCCCTGCCCGACTCCCCCCTCCCCTGCCCAACACACCCTCCCTGCCTGCTGCCCCTTCCCTTCCCTGCCCACCGCCCCCTTCCCTGCCCGATACACGCGCCCTCCCCCCCCACTGGCTGCCCCTTCCCTGCCCTGTGCAGCAGGGTGCCTGGGGGCTGCACCGAGCCCAGCCTCGGTGGTTCTGCCGGGAGCCAGACAGCAGACAGAGAGAGTGATGCCCCATCCATGACACCCTGGCCATGAGGACGGGGACACAGGAGGCCAGGAGGCCCGGGGGCACCCGCTTACCGGATGATCCAAGTCCAGGTCAGGGTCAAACTTGGTGACCAGATGGTGACACTTGTCCAGCTCAGAAACTTTCCTCGGGAACCAGAGGACTTCATGGAGGGTGGAGGGAACAGGGGCCTGCATGAGCGTCAGGCCGGCCTGGAAGCAGCCTCCCTTGCGGCTTCCTCAGTGGGGGGCGGGGTGGGGGATGGGGGCGTGACAGTGGGCAGGTCCCAGAGGTGCCCCGGCCAGCACACAGATGAGCAGAGGGCCTGAGCCGGCAGGGAGGGGGGCCCCCCAGGCCTCACATGTGGTCCCCTCAGGGGTCCCCTGTGGAAGCTTCTGTGTCCCCATCTCAAGGTCATGTGCCCCATCTCAAGGTCATGGGTTACCCACAAGGACAGAGGATCCAGCCTCACCCTTGTTCTCCCCAGCACCACGCACGTCCTCTGCCACCCGGCGCACGGAGCTGAGCAGGGCGGGCAGGTCGGCACTGGGCACCTCACAGCGCACAAAGTACTCCAGGTGGGGGCCCCCTGCCCGTGGCTTCTGGGCGGGCCGGGTCTCCAGATGGTGGATTTGGGCTTCAAACGTCTTAGGGAGCAAGGGAGAGACAGAGATGGAGAGACAGAGAGAGAGATGGAGAGACAGAGAGATATGGAGAGAGAGACAGAGATGGAGAAAGAGAGATGGAGAGCGACAGAGAAGGAGAGAGACAGAGAGATGGTGAGACAGAGAGACAGACAGGGAGACAGACACGGGGAGGGAGGGGAGACGGGGATGGGAAGGAAGAAGCTCCATGGGGTCAGCTCCTGTGGCCCCACCCTGGACGTTTGCGGCCACGAACACCCAAGCCGTCCTCCACACTCGGGTCAGAGCCTGCGGCCTGGGGAGGGCTTGCGGCTGGGAGGTGGGGTTTCGTCCAGTTTGCGTGATGGGAGTCCTCAGCGCGGTCCCTCCACCCAGTGTTCTGGGTGACGTGTTGCGTCCCTCGGGCCTGAGTCCCCAGCCGCTGGTCGGAAGGTGGCCTCATCTGGGGCTGGGGGTGGGCCCTGGACCCCACTGTGGCCCCCCCACCCAGGAGGCTCAACCCCCCGCTCAGCGCCACTGAGTGCCCAGGGGCCTGGCAGGAAGGCTCCGCTCGCCGCCACCTCCCGCCCGTCGCCGTTGCCCAGCAACAAGGACGCAGGTTCTCGACAGGCCCTCGGGCCACACGGATGTCCAGGAGCAGGAGCCCAGCTCTAATGTCATTTGGGGGCTAGGAGCCCGTGTCCCGCCCGGCCTGGTGTGACCAGAACAACTAATACCATCCGCCATCACATTAGCCAGAGCCCGTCAGGGGCAGGGGGGGTGGGAACCCCGACTTCCCAGGCTGCCCTGCTGGGAGCCACACGCACTCACCCCATATGTCACCTGTGTGTGACGTGGTGGGTGTGGGGGTGGCGGGGGTTCACGGCCCGGTGGAGGGCTCGGGCTCAGGCAGTTCCCGAGACCGCGAGGGGGACTGTGAGGGCCGTGGGGCCCCCTAGAGCTCTCGGGGGTGCAAACCCCCAGGCCCAGGGCTCCTGAGCCCCTCTCCCCTGGTGGCCCTCAGTGGCAGTCATGCCTCTGCGTGAGTCCCGTGGAGAGGACACCGTGTCCGCACCTGTCACAGGTCCGCACCAGCCAGCCTCACCTCAAATGCCTTCACGGCCCGGGACAGCGACGCGGTCTTGGCGCCCCGGAGGGTGAAGAGCAGATTCAGCATGGCCTTCCCGTCCTTGTCCTTGAACACTGCGGCCTCTAGGGGGTCCCCGGGCTCCGAGGAGGCGGCCGATGCGGCCTCGGCCTTCTCTCGCTCCTTGCGAGCGTCCTCGATGAGGCTCTGTCGCCGCCCGATGAAGCGCGGGGACTGCGAGGAGAGGACACACCCAGCTCCCCCTGTGCTTGGCCGCCCCCAGTCCCTGTTCCGACCAGCTGGCGTCCGTGAGCCCCTGCTGTGCCCACGGGGGGTACGGCTGGCCAGGCCTCACTTGCTGGGGCAGAACTAAGAGCCTGTCTCCACCCGATGGGGGTTGGGGGGTGGCCAGGAAGATGTGGAGCCACAGGCTGGGGGCCGGTGTGGCAGGAGGATGGGCCCACAGCACCCACATGCTGCCTTGCTTCTGTCCCCGGGTCCCAACTGGACGAGGTGACAGGAGGGGTGACTCAGGACCCTGAGGTGGACATCAGCCAGAGCACTGGGGAGGGCAGGGAACATGGTGTCTGGCTCCTGGGAGGGACCCCCACGCCAGCCATACTGAATGACGTCACCTCGGCACCCCAACCCCGGCCCTTCCCCACAGCACAGGGACATGGCCAAACTTGGTCCACAGCCTGTCCCCAAGACCGTGACCCCCAGGCCTGCATGAAGGAGGAGCTGAATGTCTGGGGCTCGTCCCTTGGAGCTGAATTTCCAAGAAGGTTCTGGTGTCCTTGGGTCTTGGAACATGGTGGGGAGGGTGCAGGAGAAGCCCCTCGAGCCCCCGCTTGGCCTCGGGGGTGTGAGCAGAGCAGGGCTGCAGCCCCGGGTCGGGGAGCACCTGCAAGGCTGGGTGGGCCCTGGGAGCTGGGTGGGGAGGACGTCTCACTGAGAACGGGGGTGGGGGGGCAGTTCTCTGAGCAGGTGCCTGCAAATCACATTTCCAGAACCCAAACCATGTTTTCATTCAAGGTCTAAAAACAAAAGCTCATTTGAAATGTTGGGAGCTGATCATTCTGGGGCATCCTTGAGGACATGCAAGACCCTTCTTCTGGCCTGAGTGGTCTCCAGTTATCCAGCCTCATGGAGGTGAGGTTGCCCGGCACGGACCTCCTGCCCTCGGGGGCCCCCAGGTGCTGGGTGATGCCTTGGGGACCGTCCTGTGGTCAGAGGGGCCCAGGGTGTCTAGGCAGGGGAGGTGGGATTCAAGACAGGAGGTCACACGTGGTCACGAATGCGTGGCCGGTGGACAGGTGGATGACAATGGAAACCGCCCTGGAGCCCCTATCACCCTTGGGCTCAGGACTGGGGTCTGCCCCTCCATGTGGCCGGCACCTTCCCCCAGGAGCTGCCGCCAAGGCCCAGGACACTGTCACACACACACACGCCGGGCCGGGGAGGAACCACCCACGGAGCTTCAAACACCCCCCAGTGGAGTGGTCGGGGGTCGCCTACCAGCCTGGGCAGAGCAGATGCTCAGGGCCAGGACCCCACACCGCACCCAGGTCTGTGGCGTCATATGGACCCTGAGTCCGGGGCCCCTGCCAGCCTTTGGGGGACACCCCTGCGCTTCCAGCCCATGCTGGCCATCGGGCACCAGCAGCCCCCTTACCATGATGGCTTCGGCCTGCTTGGCATCCAGCTCGGAGACCGCCCTGCGGAAGCCCTTGGCCTGGGGCGAGGCAGAGCTGGGAGTGGGCATGGCGCCGGTGTCCGTATAGGGCTCGCCTCCACAGCCCTCTGTCGGGCGGCCTCTTATAGGCTGAGCTGACGTCCCCCACCTCCCACCTCCCCGCATCCTCTCCTGCCGCCTGCCGCCTGAGGGAGGCGGTGGGCGGGAGCGAAGACGCGCAGGAGAAAGGGCTCTGTCCCATTAAATCTAATTGCGTCCCCGCTGCAGGCGCCCAGCAGGGGTACGGCCCTCGCTCTGAGTCACCTCGGCTCCAGAGGACGGGCTCTGCGGGGCTGGGGACAGCTGGCGTCCCCTTAGCTCCACACCCCAGGTGGGGGTGATGGTGGGTACACAGGGAGGTACTATTCTGGGCACCCTGAGACTGCACGTGGCAGGTGGCCTGGAAACCCCCGAGAGGAGAAATCCAGACTCCAACCTGGGATGTCAGGAGAACATTTGCTTTTCCAGAAGATTCTTCATCAAATTTCCCAACAGGATCCCACGGCATGTTTCCATTAGATGCCACCAGCAGGAGCGTTAGCTATCCCTCGTCCCATTTCCCTGGGCCTGGATCCCCAGGCACAGCCAGTGAGACCTGGAATGTTCCAGAAAGGCCCATCCCTCCAGTGTGAGGAGCCTGGAAGCGGAGGGAGGGATGTCTGGCTGGCCAGCCCCTCTCCTCCAGGACCTTCCCCCAAACCGGTCTGACCATAACACTCTTACTTCCCCACCCTCTATGGCTCCCCATCGCCCTCTGGAAGCAGTCTGAGAGCTCAGTCAGTGCAGAGGGAAGTGCCTCCTCCCACCTCCCCCTGCTGATCTTCTCACCCTTGGCTGTTCCCACTTCCTGCTCCAGGAGGGCCTGGGGGTCCATGATACCAAGTTTGCAATATTCACCCCCTTCTTCTCCTGGTGAGCTCCTATGCATTCCACAAAACACAGCTCAGCCACCATTCATTCTGTGATGTCTGTGCTTTCTTGTCCCTGATATTAATCTCCCTCCTCTGCAAACACCCTGAGGCCAGGACCCCCAGCTGCTTGGCCCACTGCATCTCCTGGTGCCTGGTGTGGGCCCTGGCCTGACTCATCTCCTAGACTCTGGGCTCAAGAGCATGTCTCAGCGGCCTCTGCCCCTAAGGCCTGGCCCAGAGGAGGTCTTCCATAGGGATGCCGCTGTGTCCTGAAGGCCCTGGAAGAATTTGCTCCGAGATCCCCAGGGTGCAGGCCGGGGCGGGCTCTACCCCAGGGCACCAGGGTCCCCAGCCAGCATCCAGGCCTCCTGGAACTCTGGACAGGCTCCCCTCCGCCCCTCCAGGGTGGGCTGCAAGGGACCACTTAGGGATGCGGATCCAGGCCTGCAGGTTTGCCCTGGGGGGCGCCGGGCAGGGGGTTAAGCACCGCGCAGGAGGAGTGGCTGAGTGTGGATTTAACCTTTCGGCAAATGTCTTCTGCTGACACAAATATTGTTTTTTAATTCCTTTGCCTACCTGAGCTGGCGTGGGCCTGCACGGAGGCTCCGTGGGGGCGAAGCTTCCTTCCCCGGGGCCAGGTGGCAGCGGGCAGGAGGGCGGAAGCTGCGGACTCCCTCCCGAGCTGTGTGCTTCCCCCTCTGGCCTCCGGCTTCCCCTGACCAGGTGTCTATCTGTCCGTGCACAGGGGGTCCATCCTGGGAAGGCTTTACCACACATCCCCACCCTGCAGGGCTGGTTGACCAACCTGGGCGCAGTCCGGGCCGTTCCTCCTCACCCGCGGGTCCACCCCAGCCAGCATCTTCTTTCCTGGCCAGACACCCTCGTGTCCTCTCTCTGGCCCGCGGCTCCCCCTGCGCCCAGGGTCTCCCGGGCTCAAGCCCAGACGGTGATCTGTAGGGCCTGCCTATAGACAGCTGAGGTGTCTGTAGACCCGTCCTGCAGAGGGGAGACTGAGACCCCAGGCAAGTGATTTCTCTGGGTCCTGCAACGTCCGGAGCCCTGGATTCCCAGCTCGCAAGACATTCCTTTCAAGGATCCAGGGCCTCAGGCCATAAGGAGAGGAATCCAAGGGGCAGACGGAGACCAGCGGCCCCCACCCCAGGGATAGAGGGTAGGGTTTCAAGCCACTGCAGAGGAGGTGGGCACCAGGAGAGGACATGGGGTCCCTGCTGCCCAGACAGCCCTGGGAGTATGAGCCGATCTTGGGGGGGCAGGGTGAGGAGCAGAGCGTCCGGGGCCCAGTGCGGTGGGGGTGCGCTCTGGGGCCGAATCGGGAGGAGGGGCCAGCCCCCTGTGCAGCCCCCCGCCCCTCCCATCACCCTGAATAATCCCAGCCGTCAGGCCGGGCACTCAGCACCAGTGCTGAGCTGGGTGCTTCCTCTTGTGGCCTCTTGTGCCCCGGCCTCCAGAGGACGTAATGGCCCATAAGGACAGCATGCAGCTCCCTGGCATCGACCGGGTTCCTGGTGTGGGGCAGGGGTGGGGCAGGCGGCCTCCAGCCTCAGGTTCAGGGCCTGTCTCGAAGGCAGGGCTGCTCCCCCTGGGCCCACTGCCTTGCCCACTGCGGGACCCCGCCCTTCCTCTCCTCCCCAAACCACAGGAGGGCCCAGGCTGAGCTGCCGAGGGAACCCGAGGGGGGCATCTCCCTGGGGTCCTCATCCCGTGGCTCTGCAGGGCCCCACCGTCGGAAACCACCTGCGAAGAGTCTGAGGTTCGTGCTTCCCGGCAATCAGGGGTCAGAGGTTGCTTCCATGGTGTGAGCAGGATGAAGGTCTTTGTCAGTGGGCATCGTCTGTGTCGTGGGAGAGGCACACATCTGTGGGACACACAGCCCCGGGGCCCCGGGCAGCGGGTCTCCAGAGAAGCCCCTCCAGAGCCCGCAGCCTGGGACCAGGGTCCCTGTTCACAGGGAGACGGGCCTGCACGGGCACACACCACATCCCTCGGAGGATTTGGGGGCACTCCGGATGTCATGCTGCCCTGGGCCACCCCTGGGTCCCCGTGGTCCTTGGGGGCTGCAGGGGACAGGGAGGCCTGTGTCCCGCCCCTCCTGCCCGGGCCGCCCACCTCCAGCCTCGGCGCAGCCCCAGGGCTCCAGGGCCTTTCTCCACGTTTGGGGACAGGCGGGGGAGCAGTCTCCCACCCTCCCCCATGCTGGAAGAAGACCCAAGACGCCTGTCACACCGGCCCTGTCAGAGCTGAAATGTCAGAGCAATTAGCTCTAACGAGGCCATCGGATGGAACCGAGCAGCTGGGCGAGCCGGCGGGGGCAGGTCGGACCCAGAGCCACCGCCCCACTGGTCGATCCGATGCACTCAGGATAATTGGGCATTTGGAAGTCAGACCTGCAGGAAGAGATAGGGGAGGAGCGGGCCATGTCTCCCCTGCCCCCGCCCCCCCGTCCCCAGGCCCCTGCAGCAGTGACCTGCTTGGCTCCCTTCCCCAGACCAAGTCCTGCCTGGCCCCCAGGCCCAATGGCCGCCCCTCCTCCTCCAGGCAGACCTCCCTCCTGCCTCTCATCTGAGCTCCCTTCCCGCCAGGCTGACCCCTCAATGGGGCAGGGGGACGGGCTGACAGAAGGTTGGGCTCCAGGCTCAGTGCTGGCAATCCACCTTTGGGAGGGTGGGAAAGGGGATCCTGACTCTGCCCCCTGTCCCATCCCCATGGGGAGGAGGAGCACCAGGTCCCACTGACACCCGGGATTAGTGCTCTCGGGCCTCTGGAAAAGCTGTCCACGCCTTCCCTAAGAGTGCCTGTCCTAGGGTCCTTCCAGCAGGGGCCTGGGGCAGGGCAGCCGGGCTGGGCATCCCTGTGCTGACATGGAAGGGAGGGCAGGACTCGAGTGTGGTCAGACCCAGGCCCCACATGAAGGAGGGAGGGCCTGCAGGATTTGCAGAGGCCAAGGGGACTGGACTGGGGTGACAAGGGGAACCAGGTGCCCAGAAGGCCCGGGGACCAAGGCGGGAAGGGGTTGGAGGAAGGGGGGCAGGGGCAGATCACAGAGGCCTCAGGGTCAGGTGGCCCTGGCCAGAGAGAGGTCTCTGTAGTCCTCGGTGGCTCCCACCCCCAGAGCACCCCAACTCTTCACTGCTCAGGTGCCTTCGAGGGGCAGGATGCTGGCCTCACACGGGGCTCTGGGCGGAAGGCTCCCCCCGTCACCTGCAGAGGCCGACATGGCTGTGAGCACCCCTGGCCATGTGTGCAGCCAGGCTCGGGAGCCCACGCTCACGAGCTCCGCCGGTCTGTGCGTGAGCGTGCCCATGGGAGCCTCCGTGCACGTGGACGGGGGTTGAACGGTGCATGCGGTGGGCAGCTGGGCCTCAGGAGGTCTGACCGGCCACGGTGGGCTGACCCGTGGGGCGGCTCCTGGCTCCGCGTCCCTCCAGACCCTCACTCCATGTCACGGCCAAGGCCTCAGCTTCCTGCCAGGTGCTGTGGGTTCCTTGGGGTCCGTCCGCAGGCCCCCCACCCCGCCTGGCCCCTGCAGGACTCCGCTCGCCTGCCGCCCCCTCCCCCCGGCTCTCAGTCGGCTGACGACGGAGCCCGCCGAAGACAAGAGCGCCGTGCCGTTCTCATTAGTCACTCGGGGGCAGGCGCCCACAGCTGTGCTTCGATAGCAGCACGTGGGCACGTGACAGGCCCGGTGCCCGCCCCCTGCCAGCCCTGGGGTCCCAGTCACCTGCCCCTGGTCCCGCCGCTCCAGGCTCCCGGCGCTCTCGGCGGGGAGGGGCCGCCCCGCCCATCCTACAGGGGAGCCAGCTGCCGGCTGTGGGCCCGCAAGGCCCCGGGCTGCATTAGCAGAGTCACGGGGGCCAAAACTCAGGAGGGGACAGAGTGCTCTGCTCGACGTGCCCAGAGCACACGAGCTGAACGTCTCAGCTGAACATCCGGGCAGCCAGGGTGGGTTCCTGGAGGTCCCCCCGGGCTCTGCTTGGCCCAGCTTGTTCCGGGTGCCCAGCGCCTGCTTGGCCCTCCTCGGGCCTGCCCGCTGGAAGCACTTAGGGGGCCCACGCCCCTGCACCCCTGGGCCACAGGCACCTCTGCCGTGCTTCCTGCACA